CATATAGGATGAGAGTTTAGTTATTCCCCGCCTCATATGTAACACTGTGAATCAAACACAACTTTTATTGCCATGGAAGCCCACACCAGTCATTAATACATATATGCAAAAGACACCCCATAATAGTCATTAATCCATCATGCAAAAGACACTGTTCATAAATAAGCAGTTTTGAGAAAAATCTGCTCCTGCTTTAATCTAGTGAAGCCAGGGAGGGCTTCAAGTGGTAAGTATGATGGCAAGGAAGAAAATATGAGCCCTGAGAGTAGAGAGAAAAATGCTAAGTGTATTCTAAAAAGATTGGCAAGCCTCTGCTACCTGGACAAAGCAACACATCAGCAGAGATCTGAAGAATGAGTCAGAGTTAGTCAGAAAACTGGTGTGGAACAACAATCAGTTGGCATTTGCTTCCTGGTGCACTTTGCTGGAACTCTGGAACTGCCAACATCAACTTCATACCAGTTAACAAATGACCTAAGTGTCCACAGCTATAGCTGATACTTTATACTCTCTCCTACCTACTATCATCAACATGCCTGACACTAGAAAGGAATACATCTTAGGAACCAGGAGTTCTTCTGTTAACCTTTGGTCCAGAGACAGGAGAAGTGTTCTTCACTCCTCTTAACAATACAGTCATAAAAGTCTTGTTATTTTCTTCTATTTCTTCCTAAAATGAAATTTGCTGTTACCAACTCCCATTTCTATCCCTCTTGGTAGCAGTTTGTATATGCTCATAATATTTACACTCATTTAAAAAATACATAAATTATTTCTATCTCAAGAATCACTCCAAAGCAAATCAATGTTCCTAGGATACGTTAAGTTTTATTCTTGCTGCCAGCAATACCTCTGATATCCCTAACTTAGCAGTTCTGTCTGTAGAATATTCAACCCACAGTAACAAAATACAAAATACCCCGGGGACATAGGTATGATTGAAGATATCTTTTCTTCATCTAAATAGTTTAGCAAAAGGACAGTTTTGTGCATACATATATATATATACATATATATATATATATATATATATATATATATATATATATATATATATATATATATATATATATCCACATTTCAAACACTATTAAAAAAAATCTCATTTCAAACAGCCATTTTGAGAAAGAACTTCCTCTTTTCACTATGGGTGTCAGGGGAAACCAGATATAGAGAGCAGAAGTCACTGCTGTCTCACTATATCTGTTTATTGGGATTTATATGAATAAGTAAGAATTTAATCTTTATTCAGTCATCACAAAACAAATCCACTCTTGTTTGTAGCTGGCAATATGTTTAGATTCAAAGGAATCTGGGATCCGTTTCCTTCCTTTATGGAGTTTACTGTATGGTGAGAAAAGCTAAATAGCTTATTTAAATGATTCAGTGCCACTAACTTTAGAAAGCAGTGGCTTCTAGACACCAAAGAAAGAAAACTTTTCTGTAAACTAAAACATAGGAGTACAATATAAGACCCAGTAATAGAAATTTCCTATCATTTGTTTATATTTGGTATTTGTATATGTTTGTTTTCCAAGGCATTGTATTTGCAACTTTCAACATAATCACTTAAAATATATAAAATGTTCTCCTGAAACAAATTTTTTAAACACATAAGTTTTTAAGAATCTTGACCAAAATGGCTCCAGTATAGGAAAAAAAAAAAAAAAAAACCAATAAGTTTAATTCAACCACTAGGGGCGAAAATCTACAGTACATACTGCAGTGTATTTCTCCAAAACTGAATATACAACTTCATTTGAACAAGGCATACTTTCCCTAACCTGCTAGTTCCCAAGCCAACACATGTCCCAGGGCTGAGTATCAGTTTAGTCTTGGGTCACTACATCTTACTCTCATCTCACATGGGCTAAAAAATAAAACGTTAACAACAGGTCCCAAAGGATGGGAACAGGGCTGATTGAAAAATTTGTCATAGCCACAATGATGGTAGAAAAAGATTGACTCAATGTAAAATAAAATCCTGTATCCTCAATTTTATTGACATATAAACTCCATTAACAAACCTTTTCAAATTGAGAAATCTCATCCTTTCTATCTTAGATGAATAATAATAATAATAATAATAAGTAAATGAAGATAGATGGGTGACTAAAAAAGAAAGGTCTTTCTTGGGCAAAAATAGAAATTCCATGTGTTCACTTATATTTTAATGTTATTGAGTATATGGCATAATTTATTGGACTTTCCCATAGGTAAGACACTATGTGTTCATTTTTAAACATTTATTTTTTAATTTAGTATTATACTTTCATTTTTAAAGGATATATATATATTGTGATACATACAAGAGCTGAGGTGTAAGCCATAGATACAGGGGTGAGAGGATTCACAGGAGACAGAGTGGGGAAAATGATAAGATAGACTGAAATACACTTCTGAGGAGAGCAGCAGGTGAGAAAGGAGAGGTCTGCTGTGCCATGTGGTTTAGCTTCCTGGCCAGGGATTGAACTTGTGCTGCAGTGGCTGCTGATAGCTTTATAATACTGAGACTTAAACCCTTGTACAACCAGGGAGGCCCCTAATACTGTGCTTTCAAATGACAAAAAACAAAATTGTTTTTTTTTTCACATTTGTTTGACATTGCCCATCCAAAGTATAGATATCACTATACTATACAAGAACAAAAAAGAGGACACCGTTGCATATATGTAGTGACACTACCTTAGTGTCCCTCACTGAACTATGGAAGGAATTGTTTAAGGATCATTCAAGTGATTGCTTTGCATCTCAAGAATTTGAAAGAGGCTCTAAAGAGGATAATATAAAGTTGCATGCAACCAAATATTGGAAGTGTTCATGTAAGGAGGTAGGAAAATATTACAGACTACAAAATCATTCCTCAAAATTGTCAAGTTCCCTGAATTTATATTTTATCATGTACAATATAACAACAATATGTCTATTACACAGATATGAAGACTAATTTATATGAATTTTGAATTTTGTCTGAATATTAATACACATTTTATGGTTATCTTAATAAATTTTAAAGAATGTGAAGGCATAACTATTCATGTAAGAAGTTAAAATAATAAAGGAAGCACCAACAGTGGCAATTTAGGGAAGTTGCTTTATATAACTTAAAACTTAAATCAGCTTATAACTTCAAAGATTTGATAAATATTGATGATGTTAATCATTGATGATATTAGGAAAGATAAATACAGATATTACAAAATACTACTCCTATTTTATCACTGATTCATATAGTTGATACATATTTTTTCAGCAATTTACAGTTTGGGTGTATGTTATCTAAAAATGAGTAGTGTGCTTTGAAACTTATACTCTAACATGACAGATGTACAAGAAACAAATTACAAATTATTATATTTATTTTGCATACTGATCATCACTGTTTAGTACTTTGAATTTCTAAAATAGTATTGAATGTGTATTTTGTTGATAGCAGTTGGAATGAACTATTGATGACAAACAAAATGTTAAGTCTCATGTAGAAAGCCTTTTCCATTGCTGCCCCACCAAGCTGTATTATATGATAAGTCCAAAGGTGAGTTTGTGTCCAATACAAACTCAATATTAGACTAGAATTTATCATCTTCTGCATTAAAATTATTCTTTCTGCCCTGCCTTGAGATGAGTGTCTTCCAATGGGAAGTATTTAGTAATGTCCCTTTGTCAGATTTCTCCCTCCATCTAAATGCTATACACCTTGAAGACATCCTCTCTAATTGCATTTAATTTTATTTTTTATTTTACTACATGGATATTTCCAACCTACTGATATGACTGGCAACTCTTTGAGGGCAGGGATTGTTTCTAACATTTCTTAGTTTCTTGGTTTAGCATACTATCTTACATAGTTAGCTCCCAAATTATATTTCTCAAGTTGAATTGTGTTTTACTTGTGAGTATGCAGTAACAGAACATAAAATTTAGCATAATTGTCATGTACATGTCTGTTGCAAGGGAATGTATACACACTTAAAAACTGTCTAACAGCTTTCTACCAGCAATACTAAGAATAAAACCTGAGATTTGGTAATTTACTATTTAATTCTGATTATTTGAATGTTTCAATTTATTGACTAATTTCTAATGTTAACTCCCAGTCAGATCATTCAAGTTTTCAGTGCTATTTTTGATTCTGGCTCTAGTAACCTCAAGTCCAGTAAATCAAATTGTATATATTTATACATACACAATTTTCATTTAATCACTTCAGCCAATATTTTAGTTAAAAATACAAATAACAACCTTCCATCGAATTTAAAAAACACACAAGGCTAAATGCACAAGTAAATGAAACTTGGTAAATTTAAAATATAATGTGAAACAATCGCATTCTTCAAATTCAGATTTTGGGGACAGTAGATGATCTTCAGAGTGAGTTATCTAGATAGAAACAGTGTGTTTGAAGGTACAAAAAAATCCATTCTATCACTGCAATAATTATGCATCAGGTCATATACACATGTTATCTACACATCCACAACACACATTCACATGGCATATTAGACCTTACAGAATGTACTTACATGAAAAGTATATTTTTCATAATAGGTGTTTCCATAGCTACACAATTCTTTTTCTAGCACATAGATGTAAATATCACTCATATTTTACAGTTGTGTTTATATCTACACCTACCTGTAAAAGTGATTTTCTATCTATTTCATGACACTTGTACACATATATATTTTAACTATTGTTTAAAAGTCTTATCTGACAAAACTGCATAGTAAAATGATTTAGGTTTACTTTTTTTCTTCCTATCAAATAAACGTAAAAGTATTTTTTTGTGTATTATCATGTGTCTCTTAAGTCCATTAACAGTTCGTATTTCTATTAACTAGCAATATTTTATAAAGCTTTTTTTATACCATATTGGAAAAAAAAAATACTTTGACCCTAAGCCCCCATGATCCAGGCAAAAATGAAATGAGTGTATGCACATAAACACAATTCAAAACACAAAACATTTGGTACACAAAGAATGATCAGATGGGTCCTACCCAGAAAAATTCCATTCAGTAGTTTCTCTCGCACGTACCACCAGCTCAGCTGCCCACGGGTCCATGCTGAATTTAAATACTACAAAGCAATTTACATTCCAACTGCTGGCCGCCCGCATAAGTTCTTCCTTTTGCACTATAAAATAAAAATGCCTGGAGAGTGAGTGATGTCCTGTTGCAGCTATCTCCGAGTCCTTCAGCAACCCTCTGAGCCACACTGGGTTAAGCCCTGCTACTTAAGCTCATTCTCAGCAGCCGGTAACTGGTCTGCCGCTGAGCAGAGAGAATGGGCACCAGCGCGCCATCTGGAGGCACCTAGCCTCAGCTGCACCAAACTTGAAATGACTAGGTGGAACATGTCAGCAAATTCTTTGTTAAACAAGCATACTATTTTTATTGACACTTCCTTGTGCAAAATACAAAACCGCAAGGAAATCTTATTCCTTGTGTCTGAATATCATTTTCCTTCAATGCTTCATAATAAAGACGAAAACTAATTTCCTATACACACAAATAACACGAGATGACAGATTTTCTGCTGTTTCTTTACTCATCTAGCAGGAAAATAAGTCTGAGGACTAAGAGAAGTGTCTCAAATTTTGCTTTAACTCGACAGCAGCTTTCCAAAAGAGAAAGCTATGCCTTTAAACTGATACAATACAGGAGTGTTAAATATGCCCTACTGCTCTAAAAACGCATCAAACCTAACCTCAGAAAATGTTTAATGTGCTCCTTATCAATGCATTGTACTACCTGGAGTTTGATAATAAGGGGGAACAATTTCAGTTATCTTTTGTTTGATAAGGTGTTCGCATAATTTTCATATTTCAACAATAGTTTACTAACTTAATTTTTCCTCTAAATATCATCCTGAGCATCTTTTCTGTAGAAAGGATATTCTGTATACCTGGATGAGATATAAACTTAATTAATTAATTGTATAGATCAATTAAAGCCTTATCTATAGTATTATGCATTTAGAAATGTGATTAATTGATGTTTCTTTATTATTTGAAAATTAAAGTAAACATGCATTTGTTATCCACTTACCTAACCCCTTCACTATCCTTACTTTTAATATGCATGGGGATTTGGAATTTCAATTTTCCTTTAAAATTAAAATTCAAAAATTTAACCTTGAAACCATTTAACACAGTTCCCATCTACAGTGATTGTTTATTTTTCCAGGCAAACATGTGCCAGAGTTTGATTATATGCCATGAGGGGCCCTTTGGGAATAAAAACATATTAATCACTTTATATTGAAATCAGCATTTGAGAATTTTGACAAGAAAAATATATAAGACCTTCATTTATCAATATTTCATAAATCGCTCATTCTATATTTCAACAATTGTCTTCTTTCCATTTGTATAAGGGGCATATTGATGTATCAGTAAACACTCTAAAGAAATGTAAGATTTTTGTTTTATGTAGAGAAATTTACCCAAGTTATTCAAACCACATATATATGTATGTATGTATATATATATATATATAGAGAGAGAGAGAGAGAGAGAGAGAGAGAGAAAGAGAGAGAGAGAGAGTTTGTGAAGTCTCTAAAAATGTATGTGCTTTCTGGAGGTCTGAAAAAAAGTTAACTCCTTATGAGTTCTCAAAATATAGCTAGTATTATGAAAAATTTACAGATTTGTTACTGACTACTAAATTACATGACAAGTATGCTATTGTTAGTGATGTATAAAGTTTTTAGAAAAGCAAGGTACTCAAATACAGAACTCATGATTTTGATAATAGAGCTTCTAAAATTATAAATTATTAGGGGCCCTCCCTGGTGGTACAATGGGTTAGGACATAGCACTGCAAGCTGGTTATAGCCGCTTCAGTGAGGGTTCAATTCCCAGTCCCACAGGTGATACACATGGTACAGCAGACCTCTCCTGATGTGCAGGCTGCTCCCCTCAGCAGTGTACATTGTCAATCTGCCTGTCCTGCTCCCCACTCTGTCTCTGGTGAATCCTCTCACCACCCCTGCACCTCTGGCCTGTACCCCAGTTCTGTGTGCATAAATAAATAAATCTTTAAAAAATAATAAATTACTAATACTATAAAAATATAAATATTGAAAAAAAATATGTCCAATATTTACCAAGAAAAATGTGATGAATGAAAAATTAGAGATAACCAACATAAAATGGAAGACACAGTTTCCTAACATAAAGGCTTTGGCTTTACAAAATGATTCTTTAAGTGAAAACTTCCTAGCAACTCAAAGATTTTATTGGATAAATAAATGTTCACATACATATAGTAAAAAAAAGAAAAAAAGATTAATTAAAGTAGACTTGCAAATTTAATAGTCAAAGACAATGTGTCTATGTTCATCAGAACCAAAAGCTAAAAAAAAATAATAGGAGTTGATGCTACATGCAGAAGTGATTTTTGTGACAACTGGAAGAAGCAAAATATTTTCCTTTTATTGTCTTCTGAAAGAAAGCCTAAAGTTAGTCTTGAGGTCCTGAATCAATGGAAAACATAGATAAATAATCCACAAATAAGAGTATACTGGATTCTTCCTGGTGGCACACAGGTTAAAGCACAGCACTAAAAAGCTAAAAGCCACGTCAGCATTAGTTCGATACCCACCTGGAAGGTAATCCACATGGTGCAGCAGACCTCTCCTGACCCGCCCGCTGCTCCCCTCATAGTGTACTTTGTAGATCTGCCTGTTCTGTTCGCCATTCTGTCTCTGGTGAATCCTCTCAGGACTCCTGCACCTCTGCCCTGTACTCTAGTTTTGTATGCATATATAAATAAATCTTTTTAAAAAAGTATACTAAGGAAATAGTGGTCATTAAATTACTTCTATTTCTATAATTTAGCATGTGAAACTCAAAGAAATAAAAAATGTCCAAGTCAATGCCACACAATGAGTTCAAGCTAAGATAACGCAGAACCTCTAAATATTTCTTTTACAGTGGAGTAAAAGTAATAATCTACCTGTATTTTTATTCTATCCCTACAAAACAAATTGCCACAATTTTCTTTGGTTAAAATAAGCTAGTCAACAACACAGGTGTGGTTTACAAAAGTCTTCAGGTAAGAGTCTCACAAGACTGAAATCTAGATATTAATTGGACTGTGCTCTTACTTTGAGGTTTGAACAAGAAAATGTGTAAATTCAATCAGGTTGTTGACAGAATTAATGTTCTCAGTTGCTTTAAGGCCACCAGGAGAATTTGTCTTTACTTCAGGGAGGGCACTGGTCTTTCTGTTAAGAATTTTGACCTGATGATGTCAGGATTACCCAAAATAGTCTCCTTTCCAATATTTCAAATCAACTGATAGAGGATGTTTCAGCTGCACAATCTCTCCTTTTTAAAGATTTATTTTATTTATTTATGCATATAAGAGCTGAGATGTAATACAGTGGTAGTGGTGAAAAGATTCACCAGAGACAGAGTGAGGAGCAGAACAGGAGGATTGATTAAAATGTACTGCTGAAGGGAACAGTGGGTGAGACAGGAGAGGTCCGTTGGACCATGGGTGATAGCTCCCTGGCCAGGGATCAAATATGAGCTGCAGTGGCTGCTGATAGCTTCATAGTGCAGAGACTTAACCTCTTGTGACACCAGGGAGGCCCTGCAAAATCACTTTATCTTTGCCATTTTGGGGGGGGATAGAACTAAGTCATAGGTTCCACCCATATTAAAATAAAAGGAGGTGAATTATTCAAGAGTGTGAAAGAATGGGTGTCACTTGATGGTATATGCAAAACAGGAAGTACACAAAGATGCATAGGTTTTCTAACTTCCATTCAAAAGCATAAATAGAATAGCCAGGAAAGAATGGGAATGTTTTGTTGCTTTCAGGATCAAGGTACAGAGATGGACTTAATTATCTTAGGAGTTTTATAAATTCATAGCCGTATCTGTGGTGAACATAATATGATGGAGAAAAAAATGTAGAAATAATTTGATCAGGAAGGGGCATAAAGGCTGAAGGTCAATGCATTGAATCGAGGAAATAAGGTCAGACGGAGCAGGACTGAAACCAATGAAAAGCATTGGTGCCAATGTGGTTGCAATGGCTACATATTCAAAGTGTTTATGCTGTCACAACCCCTATAACTATTCATCTGTGTTGTGAAGTGACCTCATGTTAATTAACTAGAATTATATACCTGGCCAAGAGGAACACATCCAGAGACTAGGCAGAGGCTCTATGGTTTGTGTGGCCTAATGGAAAAAAATATAGACCTGTCCAATTAGATTTTCAGAAATTTTAAGAGAAGAATTAGAGGAAAGTTGCCAGTTAGTAGAGAATACTGCAGCTAAACTGCCATGTAGCAATAATGAGCTGTGTGCTAGTTGATGCAGAGAAAGCAGCTTAGCAAACTGAAAAGAAAGAGAGAAAGAGAGTGCATTTATCCATTTAATTCTCCCAGTATTATTACATACTGGGAATTTTTCTAGGTGCCAGGAACACTGTAATGAATAAAACCAAGTCCCATTTCTCATAACACTTAGTCTTGTAATGGGAGATAGCAAATTTCCACAAACAAATAGATTTTATCTCATTAGGAGGGGAAAATGTGTATAAATAAAATTAAGTTTAAAAGTAATGAAGGGATTACTACTTTATGCAGCCAAGCCAGGAATGCCTATTTCATCACATGTCCTTGAAAAGAAATCTGCATGCAGTAGAGGTGACAGCCTTGCTGATCTTTGTGGGAAGGATGTTCTGGCCAGAATGCACAATAGGTACACACATTCTTATACTGGTGTGTGCAAGGCAAGTTGATGGAATATCAAGACTGGAATTATGTCTGGTATACTATGGGGGCAAGAAAACTGGTGATAGCATAGAAGGGCCCTCCTTGGTGGCACAACAGGCTAAAGCACAGCACTATGAAGCTATTGCAACCACTGCAACATGAGTTCCATTCCTGGCCAGGGGGGTGACTCACATGGCATGGCGGACCTCTCCTGGCCCACACATGTCTCCCTTCAAACGTGTATTTTGTCAATCTGCCTGTGCGTGTTCTGCTCCCCACTCTGTCTCTGGTGAATCCCTTCATCTCCCCACACCTCTGGCCTGTACCACAGTTCTGTATTCATAAATAAATATTTTTAAAAAGAAAGAAAACAAGTGATAGGATATGAATTATAAGTACTGAACAATAAAATATGAGCTTCATCTCACATATTGCTTATGAAATGCTAATTTTTAATCTAGAAAAATGGGAAGCAATTAGAAGATAAA